CCTGCTGAAAATTTATTTATGTTGTCGCGCTTTACAGCGACAAGGTAACAACTGTAAACGTTAGACAATAAACTTATTTAATTAAGCTCTCTCCTGTGTCTCTTCTGTGCAAGATGTAATTCGTACACAGTTTTTGATCGTTTCTTACATGCTCTGTTAGGGAGGGAAGGCTCCCTTTTTTTTTCCTCTTCCTCCGTTCACTTTCTAGAATATATTTCTGATCAGTTTTTAGCAACTTTAATTAAAAAACACATCTCTAGATTCTTCCCCTTAAAACCATTGCGCTTTTCTGCTCAGCTGTATTAAATGACTTTTTCCCTTTGTTTTCACATTTTGATCTCTTCTGTCTTCTCTCAGGCTTGACTTGAAAATAACTTTGTGTTGTTTATGAAGGTAAGAAAATCGGACATTTTCTGCTCCATTTCTAAGCTACGTAAGTCTTCCTGATTACGCGTGCCCATCCAAATTAATTTCAGAGCGAGGCTTTGATACTACCTTTATTATTACAACTCTTAGATCCTAACCTTTAGGCAGTGGTGGTCGTTTACATAATTGGAAGCCGTTGACTGCGAGCTGCTACACAGAGGACTGGTTTGGTGAAAGATTTACTGAGAAGCGCTCAGACTGGGCGAAGGTGCCACGTAGGTGCCTGGAGGGGGAGAACTGCAAGGCTGCCCCTCCTTGGGGCGCGTAAGTAAGCTCAGACCTTACACAGAATCCCCAGGCTGGGCCTCGGACCGCTCTGGTTTCCACTAGTGACTGTTTTGTTGTTATTGTCATCATCTTCGTCAGAGTCCGTATTTTCTTAAACAAACTAGTTTTCTTGGATAGTTTAGTTAGTGCGGGGAGAAGAAAGAAAGAAAGATCTTTGGGTCTAAATCTTAAAAGGAAGCTCCTGAAACTGCGGTTTCCAGCAGCACAGCCAGAGCCGTGAATGCCACATCCCTGCAGACAACGAGCTCTCGCCGCTGAAATGCTGCTGCTTGTGCTTGTGGAGCAGAGAGGAGCACGCTGGTCCTGCTTGCCTTCCTCCCCTCCTTTTGAATGGGCAGTGTTACGCCACCAACTACAGTTACTTAAGCATCTCCCTTACACCGAAACATAAGTGCAACGATGAATATAGTGAGAAACAAGCAATTCTGAAAATTAAACTGCATTTTTATTATGATTATTTTGTCGAGGCTTAACAGACTGAGCAGTTAGAAAGAATGCTTTGTGGCAGTTATGTCGTTCCAGATAAAAATAGCAAAATCGTTCCTACAAATACTTTTGTTTGCTCTCCAAGTAAAGCAAAGGACCTTTAGTACAAGAAAGGTTATACTACTAAGCCATCCGAGGCAGTGTTTCTCTCAATTTCTCATCATTTAGTTTTAGAACTTCATAAAAGGAACTTGGAGCGGTTTTTCTGCTGCACGCTTCAGGGTCAGTGCGTAAGTATAAACCCTGGCATCCACTGCAAGATGCTCTTCTGCTATGAGTTCTGGAAAAAAAAACAATGAGGTGCTGTTAAAACTTCTCTACAAATTTAAGTCTTTTACTAAACTGAAGATCTACAGCCTTGCAGACACGAGTTTGTATCAGTAACATGGAACGCTGTCACTAACGCAGTTACCTGGTCTAGACTCTCACAGCTTTTTGGTTATGTCACAGTATTCTAGGGGCAGAAGTGAGGAGCTATGACAAGCCAAAGGTTTTTTGAAGTTTGCATTAGTGCCTTTAATGTGTCAGAAAGCTCTTACCGTCAATTCTTTGAAGCAGGTCGTTCTTTGGAAGTGAAATAACTTCCACAAATTCTAGAAGAGAAGAAGAAAGAATCACGCAGCTTTAAATTAGTGAAGTTACCTCAGTGTCCCATTTTATTAACAATTTAGAAGGGCAAATACACTGACTTCATGCTCATCGCCATCCAAAAGCCTTAAGCCTATATATATATTACAAAAAGGGTGATTAAAGCAGGGAAGGCAGTGTCTGGGGTCATTAAAAAACAGGTCTGGCAGAAAAAAAACTAAGAAAATGATGAGAAAAAGTGTCGCTGAGAGCTATGGAGGATAAGAATCCTTCTAAAAGGAAACTTTCTGCCTCCTGAGAATGGAAAATACACCGTTGAAGTGGACTTTAGTTTGGCTTATACTGGTACAATAATGGACTGTACATGTGTTTGAAGACCAAAACAGCAAAAAGACAAAGGATTTGCTCTTGATAAAATTGTGTTGGGTCACACCTTCCCTGGCTCTCTGAACTAGTTGTCTTTGGGCCTTGATCTACAGCTGTTGTGGATTCAGGAATTTGAATTTCCTAAGATACTGGTGCTAGAGGTGCAACACTTAAAGATAACGTGATAATGCCTACAGGAATTTTCATGTCTGGGCCAAAGTCAATCTCATGTGTGTTTGCTTAGGGCCAGGAGATTAACCAAGCCCAAATAAAAACCTGTTTTAACTGACATTTTCTAAGTAAAACTTGCCAAACGAAGATCACACTTGACCTTACTCTCAGTAGGAGCCCAGTTACGTACGTACCTCCATCATCTGCAAGTAAAAAAGAAGAAATAGTAAGTTAGGGGGTTTGAAATATACTAGTTTCCAAGTAAAAAGCCCTTTGATAGCTGATTGTAAGCGACACTGTAGTTCGTTCCAGGGTCAAGCCACAACTAAAATGACTATGTAAGTTCACAAGTGCGTGTGGCCCTCACTGAAGTTTGGCACCTAAATTTCTCAGAGTGTGTCTATCCCGCAGGATAGGATTTGAAGGGCCTAGAGCATCTCCATCTGCCGGGAGAGAAGAGATGCAGTGGTAATGACAGTTCTAAACCCATCATTTTGCTGCCTTCTCAGAATTTTCAAATAAATGATACAAGACTCACCAAGTTTTTGCTTAGGCCTTGTGTTCTCAGCCTCATCTCCATTAATGGTGACACACACGATGTGCGTCGTGCTGTTTGACAAGCCCGGGTCCAAGCAGAGAGCTGTGGACAAGCACACGTAGAGGGGAATTTTTCAAAAGCAGGGGTCAGACACCTTGACATTTTAACAAAAACTTTCACAGAAATGTACCTGATACAACAGGACAACGGGTATTTGGCATATGTTCACGGTGGAAGAGTTGTGAAAAGTTTGGTTTTGTGTGTTCTTAAAAGTAATGCTTCTGTAACCCTCAGCTCTTTTACAGATTCTTTGTAAGGCTTGTTTTCAGCAGTTCAGGTCGTGTTCCATCCCACAGACTGAAGATTAAATGTAAACTTTAATTCCTTTATAGACTTCTTCAGCCTATTAGAGTCTAATTTTGCCATCACCTGTCTCCCTCTCTCAATCCCCAACACGCAGTTGTACCTGATCAGGAAGCAAAGTCTCAGCTGTAATGACATTTACTCGAAATTACATGTAAGTTGCTTCACATCTCTTCCTTCTCAAGTTTATTTATGATTCTCATTTTGCCCTCATTTTGGTTTTATGTAGGAAGCATTGGACTGGCACCAATCACATTCCAAAGGATCTCTGGGTTTACTCCAATCACTCTTCCCTTTCTTCTTTCCCATTGGAGAACCTGAATACTGTCACGTCCCTGCAGCTGGCACGAGGACGACCTCTGCTCCGACTGCTCTGTGCAGCTCTTGTTTTCTCCCTAAGTTCATGGATGCTCTTCACATTAAGTGAACAATCACAGCTTGAGTAATTGTGTTGGTGTAAAGGACTTTAGTTAAACAGCAAAGTTGGTCCCTACAGACCTCAAACTTTTAGTTTAGTCCTGTGCGTTTGACAGTTCAGCCACTCATCAAGGACCAAAGTGTCACTGGTGCAGCCATGGGGTGCTACTCTCTGCAAATCTCCGTAGACTTTTCTGCGTCCATTTTTCCTTTGGTTTAGATAATTTTAGACATTCAGAGTAGCCATCAAAGACAGGATTAGCTTTGGGTGTGAAAATAAAAAAAAAAAAAGCAGCAAAGACCTGGAGTGCATTCAACGACTTCCCCCTTGTATCCAGTTTCTTCCTCCAACTCTCGCAGTGCGGCGCTTTCTGCTGTCTCGTTTTCCTCAATGAGGCCTGAGAGATAAATAATACACAAGAGCAATTAAAACATGAGCACTTAACTGCAATACCCCTCCCATGATCTAATTTGGTTTTACAGAGAAGCTGAAACATCCCCACTCCCCTATTTTCACAGAGGGATAGACTGAAGCATTAGGAAGGATTCCAGTTCCCGCCTTCGTAATGCGCCACGACCTCCACGGATTATCTACAGAATCATAGAAACATCAAGGCTGGAAAGGACCTTAGGATCATCAAGTCCAACCTACAGCCCTACACCAGCCTAACACTAAACCATCTCCTGAAGTGCCACATCCAACCGTTTTTTAAACAGTCCAGGGATGGTGACTCCACCACTTCCCTCAGAAACCCATTCCAGTGCTTCACTATCCTTGTGGTGAAGAAGTTTTTCCTAATATCCCATCTAAACTTCCCCTGGTGAAACTTGAACCTATCATTAAAAAGCAAGAAACACAGATGCCATCCATCGATCCTTTCTACTTTCCCAGGAATCCTTCCTTCGTACATGGGTGTACGTGTACAAATCTCTTCAAACACAGCACCGCAGTTGAACTCACTGGCTTTTCTGAAGTAGTGTCTGTAATTTTCCTTCTTGCTCAGCTGTTCTTTAAAGTGCCCAAGTGTCTTTAACATCCTCCCGTAGGGAATTTCTTCTCCACAAAAAATTATAGGTGACAACCAACTCACTAGACTGAGAGGTGTGAACAACTGGCAGTTTCTTCGGCTCTTTGTGATCTTCTGTGATCTTCTTGTGATCTTCTGACTTGCACTGCAGAAAGGGGTGTTTCCCCCCGAACGGCAGCAGGCTACCTTCCCAGGAAACGGTGTTAATATTCTCACGAGTGAGAAGCAGCCAAATGTTTTTACTCTTAGAGAGAGGAGGAGTGAAGGGAAATGCCATATTCTGCTACCAATGTCTCCCATCTGCCAAAACAAACTCATTTTGTATTCTTCAATATTCCTGTTTCTGAGCTTTGCACCGAGCTACAGAGCTCACCGTGCCTTCCTGGTCAGAGCTACCTCATTAAGACTGACCACACGAGGCACATCTCACCCCGCTCAGCTGGCAGCTTGATGTGACTCAATGTTTCGGTCACTTACCTGCAGGAAATTCCAAGCAGTAGCCGTTAATCGGGGGCCGGAACTGTTTCACTAGGACAATGCAGTCGTAGTGGAGAGTTCTCTGCAGCACTGCTATCACCGCTACACCTACACAGAGTGGTGGAAGACACAAGTACATAGAGTTTGAGCACAATGGAAAGAGTATTTAGTGCTAGATCTGGAAAGGAGCCCAAGCACAGTTAGTTTAAATGTTTAGATGCGTGCTCCAGAATTCTGAAGGATGACTTTAAGCTCCTGCGTGGCGAGAGATAAAAATCCCAAATGGGATCTTCAGAGTACCCCAGCAAACGAGAGCCACACATGCCAAACAAGACCAAGCTTCACCTCACCAACATCTAGGGAAGGGTTCTCTTGCCTGCAGAGGCTGTTTGGAAACCATTGTATGGAGCTCCCTCCTACCTTCTTTTCATTGCTACATCATGCCCCTCTTTTGCCCAAAGAGAACTGGATCCCTAATCCCTAACAGCAGAGCCAGGCCACTGCTCTGTGAGCTGCTCTGTCTCAGGGCATCCATCATGTGTTTGACATAACCCCATCGTTCCAAAGCGAACGCAAAGATCTTGGCAGAACAGTCCTACGCATAAGGTTCTGAGCCTTCAGCACCAAAGTTAGCATTTCATTAGCTTGTGGGTACAGCAAGCTCTGCTGAGCTGTTTTTCCACAACCTCATTCATTCAGGAGCAGATCGGCTCTAATTCTGCACCGCGAGTTTAACCCAAGAACTTCCACAGGAAAAAAATGTGAACAAAAAAAGTCACCGGTATCTTACCATCAGCTGAAACACCTTTTTTGTTGCCAGTACGCTTTACGGTTTCCCAAGTTCTGTTTAACACAGAGAAAAGAACAAATGAATACATACGTCATCTCCTACCCTTGCTACTTTCATTTAAAAGCACAATGTACCATCACCCAGAGGGGTGTCACAAGAAAGTCGCTGGCCTTAGGCAGGCCCTGTCATGTACTGGCACTGGAAGATGTCTGCAGTGTAATTTTGGTTTGCTACTTAAAGGATGGAGACAGAAAATAATAAATGATTGCTTAAGATCACTGAAAATGAAGGAAAAACATAAATGACTGTCACAGAACAAGCAAGTCTTACAAAAGGGATCTCAGAAAAGTGAAAAATAAAGCAATTTATATAAAAACACATTAGATTTTGAAAGATATTTTTGTAACAAGACCACATACATTCTTTATCTTGCTTTGGCATATGGTTTATAGTCTGAGTTATTGTGAACTCTCAGTTCAGTTACTTGAGCGCACAAAGAGCATGTAGGCAAGGAAGACCAAAAATTCTCTCTCGAAATAACCAACAGGATGAGCAAAACCCAAAAATTCACCACCAGTAAAAATCCTTTCATGAAAGCTCCAACCCTTGTTACTTTTAAAAGGATACTTTGCCAGTGAAGTGGGAGGCACTTGAGAAAGCAATCAGTATAGAATCACAGAATCACAGAATGTTCGGGGTTGGAAGGGACCTCAAAGGATCATCTAGTCCAACCCTCCTGCCAGAGCAGGATCACCCAGGGCAGTTGCAACTTCTTCCCTGAGAGGACTGAGGAAGAGCTTTTTTCCTGGTAGGCTGTGATGCTTTGGCAGGGATGAAGAAGGTAAAGCTAGAATGCTGTTGCACAGCTTTCCCCTGAGAAAAGGTATTCACCAGCAAGTGGAAGTAAAATTTGACAGCTTAGTGGTTTGTGTTTAACAGATAGAGTAGCCTTGAGAATAAAGAAGTAGCATTGTTATACAGTGATGGAAGCAGGACAGAAAACATGGTCATTTCTAATTAATGTGGTCATTTTTTTAAGCAGTGTCCCCAACTGGTGGCAAGTATTTTTGTGTCTTGAGATGAGATGCTGAGAGTGTAAATCTATTACACAAAGCTATTTTCAACTGACTGTATGCTTGTATGTGTTTGGAAATAAGCTTGTGAACAGAGAAGAAGAACTAAAAGAGAAGATGGTGGGTTCAGGCACTGAGACCACTTGTTCCACAGTGAGGAGCACAGTGTAAGGCTTCTAGCTCTTCTAAGGAGATTTTAAAATGAGGAAAGGGTTTGCTACATTGAAGCCAGTGCATGATATTACCGCAGGGAAATCTGGTAAATGCATCTAAAGCAGTAACGGAGTTACTTTACCTAAAATTACATGTCTCAGGAGACTGAATCATAGAATCATAGAATCATAGACTCTTACAATCACAGAATCATGGAATCATAGAATCACAGAATGGCCTAGGCTGGAAGGGACCTCAGAGATCATTTAATCCAACCTCCCTGTCATGGGCAGGGATGTCTTCAACTACATCAGGCAACACATGGGGTCCGAGCGGGGATCGAACCTGTGGCCTCAGTGTTATCAGCACCACGCTCTAACTGACTGA